AATGATCAAAATTATGATTCTTCAGGAGCAAATTATACTAGCATAACTACACTGAATATACTTCATACCCTACTGTTACTCAGCTTTAAATGAAAATATGGGATTCGTTTATTGACCTGAGAGTATATGAATTATACAATGTACATTGTAAATTGTTGTTGTTTAAAAGCTTTTTTTTTTTTTTTTTTTTTTTTTTACTGCAATTTCAGCTAAATCTTCATTTTACACTCGACGTATTATAGGAGAGAAAGCTACTTTTATGCTACATCTAGACTAGTTCTTAATGCGAAATAATATTCACGTAACATTTGACCTTACAGTAAACACGGACGTAATGATTATCAAGTTCGCAGCAGCAATAAAGAATTTATGCAGTGGCTGGTGAGAATCCAGACAGCTGTTGCCCTGCATAAATGTAATACCAGTCTTGCTATACATGGGTCATTTGCTCATTAGCATATGGAGACTTTACTTCGGCACATGCCCACACACACACACACACACACACACACACACACACACAAAGACATGTATTGTATTTCAACAGGCTATGAATCCATGTCTTTTCTTGCAACCTGATACCTTCAGCCGTCACAATAAACAACTCTTTAATTAAACACCATCTCATCTGTGCAGTTTGTGTGTTTGGGTTGTGGTTGTACATTATGGTGAAACTCAAATGCTGTGAACTTGTGGGGTTATTTGACTGATTCCCACGAGGAAAGGGTCGGTGGTGTATTTTACTGCATTTGACCCCAGTTCAGAGAATAACAAATGTACCACACTGGAGAGATGGAGGGAGACTTATTTAAACATTTGTTCTGCCATTAAAGGCGAGTTGAAATTGATCTGATTTATCAGGGCGTCATTTCCCTAATAGGCTAACATCTACGAGTATTATTGATCGAAAATGATTGCGTTTTCTACTTTGCTAGATGTCATGTGAGTATAATGGCAGTAATGAAATGGACAGAATCGTCGCATGTAAATCCAAGCATTTTATGTACTGTTATGATGGCCTGGGTTGAATAGTGATGTCTGTGATTAAGACATCGATTACGGCACTTAATCATTTAGATCAGCATGCTGCACTATCACCATTCTAAAAAATTAATGTGACAAGTGCTGGAATGTATAACTACACCTTAGCGGCCCTGATAGAAGTGAAGCGTTCCCTTTCCATATAAGGAATGATCTATTTACAGCGGCTCTAGTGATGGAAAATAAAGACGAGCCTGTGATCTGAGCCTTATGTTTTAATGATGTGTTTTTTGGTCTTTAGAGACTGAGAACATGGGATGAATGAGTGAGTGTAAACAGAGAGGGGGGAGAGAACAGTGACGGGTGGGCAGAGGTATTGAAAGGATGGGGAGGACGAGACGGAGGAGGAGGAGGAGGAGGAGAAGAAGTGGCTGAGAGGAGGGCAAGAGCAGTATATAAGTCCAGGTCTGCCTCGACTGCGCTTACACAGCCGCTAGCTTCTCTTTTTCTTTGACGAAAGTAAAGGCAGAACTCTTCTGACACTCAGGTAAATGGATGGATGGATGGATGGATGGCTTTGCACTGACAAAACAGTTATATACAAATATATTTGCTGTATGTGTATATAACTACATACAACACAGTTATATACTATAAACAGTTCGATTTAGTTATATATTGAAGTGATTGAGTTTGGTTAAGGCTGGAATATTTAACGATTGGATATAAATGCATATACTGGACCAGATGTGATTAGCCTGTTTTGCTTTGTGACAGCCTGACATATTTGAATATTTAATACAGTTTATGACGAGTTGGTGCGATGTTATTTACATAACTATTAATAACTATTAAATAACATAACTGCAATGTTAATCTGACTTTAATATAATTGTCCTGGATGTAATAGTGATTGACAGTACCATGTCCTGGATCTGAGTATATTTGTGCGTGTGTGTGTGTGTGTGTGTGTGTGTGTGTGTGTGTCTGACCCCAGTGCAGTGAAGCTTAAACTGAGTTCATCTTACACTCAGCCAGGTAGTTTCCTCTTCTGCTCTCTAGGTTCAGAGTGTGTTTTCTCAGCTTAGGATTTCACTCTTATCAGCGGGCTCACATTTCCCTTATCTAGTTAAGATCCTCCTCCAGAACCATCAGCCCCTATTGCAACAGTTCAGGGTTCTGCAAAAATAACAATCTTTTGACCTAGTAGAGCCCCAAAATAGGGGTTGCAAGATTTCTCTGAGATTTAACACAGTCAGCTTCCTTGAGCGTAAACCAATGCTATATTTCTGTTGTTGTTGTTGTTGTTGTTGTTGTTTTTCCTGCGCAGAATGTCGACCCTGAACTCAGAGAATGCCACCACCCTGGAGAATGCCATGCAGTTGATGATCCAGACCTTCCACAAGTACTCTGGTAATGAGGGGGACAAATACACACTCAGCAAGACCGAGCTCAAAGATTTGCTTACCCAGGAGCTAGGAAACTATCTGGGGGTAAGAAGATGCTAATTCTTTATATGCAATTGTCTATATCCAGTATATGCCTTGTCTTTGAAATAGCACGTGCTACATTTATAAAGTGGAGCTCTCCCATGAACAGCATGCACAGGACAAGGACGCTGTAGAGAAGGTGATGGGCGACCTGGACTCAAACAATGATGGCGAGGTGGACTTTTCAGAGTTCGTCATCCTGGTCGGCGCACTCACCGTGGCCTGCAACGACTTCTTCCAGGAGTACAACCCAGACAAAGGTGGTAAAAAGGAGTAGATGCTGTCTCATCTCTCTGAACTAAAGCTAACAAATGACCACTGAATGAAAAAGAAAAAATGGAAAAAAGCGGGCAGATAAAGAGATGTGTGTGTGTGTGCGTGTACCGATCTATGCGCACCAATACTATCAATGTAAAATTCTTCACATATTGGGCCACAGAATGTGTGGTTGGTGGGCTGTGGTCATACGGAAGTCAAATATAAATTAGTGGGAGTGAATGTTCAATGTTCAATGATGGTCATTGTTGAATACTGTATGTGTATATTGTCACTTCTTAATCCTTTCATTTTTATTAAAAAAAACAACAACTATTTTGTCTGTTCATTGTAGAACCACATTATCTTCAGCATTATAATAAAGATCACGTTTTAAAAGCGCAATTATCCACTCCGATTTGTGTCCTTTATAGGTGACAAGTTTTTGTGTGTAACTAATAGAAGCTACAGGTGTTATAGGTCTCATCTTTCTTCAGAGACTGAGGATAATGGGATCCCAGGGGTTAGACTGCTTTACAAAGCTTACATTACATCTTTATACTGGAAACTATGAAACGCCAGGCTCGGAGACAAATAGCGGTGAGTTAATACCAGGTGGGGAAAGTAATAACTACAGTGCATGTACTTTTGTTACAGTGCTTGAAAACATGGTTTACTGTAATGGTACTTTAAAAAGAAAGTAAATGATAGTTCTTTTATTGGAGTTTTTTTTTGTTTGTTTGTTTGTTTGTTTGTTTGCTCAAATAAAAATTCAGCATCACTACATTTATATATATTTTTAATTACATGAATAATGCATTTAACCCCAGAAGACTGTAAACCAATTCAAAGATATCATGTGCAAATTTTAAATAATTCAATATCGAGAACCCAATCTAAATAAAGCAGATTTCTGATGAAAGTCTGTGCTTCAGGCTCGATCAGCAGCAGGGATGACTCAAACAGTGCAGACAGATGAGCATCCCTGGCCCGGTTTATCCATACAGGTATCTTTAAACTCTTCAAAGGAATCAGCAGGATAATGTGCAAATAATGTCAGAGATACAAGCATTTCATAAACATCCTACATCTACATCCAACTTATGGGAAAATGTACCGGCAAGACATTAGCTAGCTGAGTGAGCTAGTCAAGCTAGCCAGCTTCTTTTATGTTTTACAGTATGAACGTGCTGCTTGAGATAAATATATCTAAGTGCTGCTACAGTCTGTAATTAACACTCAGGATAATGTGTAAAGGGCATTTTTGCTAGGTAGCTACATGTATATCTAGCTAGAAACACGAATTAACGTATTAAAGTATGAATTAATATGAGCTAGTTAGCTAGCTAACTAAAGAAGAAGAAAAGATTCGAAATATTTTCAGATTCGTTGTGTCAGTTGTAGGCACATATAAGTAAGTTATAAAGTAGGCTATAGAGTATAAAGTAATTACTAGTATAAAATAATTAGTGGCAATTTTTTTTTTCATAACCAGACAGATATTTTTACTTGAGTAATTTCCTTGATTGCCACTCAAGTGAATATTTACACTATTCTAGTAGCAGTAATTTTTCTCGTCAGAGTGGTTTGTATTCTTTCCACTACTGGTTAATACAGCAATTTTGCACATAGGTATTCATACCTCAGCTGTAACCATATACCGGTTAATTAATTTAATATAGCTTCATTAGCCTCATGACCTTGATTAGATTTTGTCTGTACAGAATATAAAAAAGAAAAAAATATTTTTGTGTCCTGTCTAGTCACTGGCTACAGCTCTCACACCGTTTCTCTCCCCTGTCTAAGCTTTATGGTTTCTGCTGTTTTGAAAATATTAGGCAATACTGAATGAAGTACTAGACTCCTATTATATGTTTATTTGAATGCTTACATTTTCGTACCATTAAGATGTCTCAAGATTTCTCTTTTCTATCTGCCAATTTGATCAGGGTTACTGGTAAATGCTTGATTTTACAGGTGAAAAACCCATCTTGGATGCTCCCCCTCGAGAAAATTTGGCAACCTTTGAGACATGAACATCCATCCATCCATCCATTTTCTGTAGCGCTTATCTTATACAGGGTCACTGCGAGTCTGGAGACTATCCCAGGGGACTTGGGGCACATCTGACACCCTGGACATGGTGCCAACTCATCACAGGGCACAATCATACACACACTCAAACAATTTAGAGATGCCAATCAGTCAACAACGCATGTCTTTGGACTGGCGGAGGAAACCGGAGTGAACCCCTGAAGCAAAAGGAGAACATGTAAACACAGGGTGGAGGCGCAAATCGAACCCCCGACCCTGTTGGTACGATGCAAAAGTGTTAACCACTACGCCACTGTGTCCCCTGGCATTAACTCGGTCATTTTAATCATCTGACTGGGCCAGGTTTAAGCACCTGTGCGCGCTGACTACATACTGAAATATCTTTTTAACTTAAGTATGTGCTTACTTAAGATTGCGAATGTTTAACTCATAATATAGCCCAAACTGAAAAACTTTTTTGCTGACTCACTAGCTAGCACGTTTAACTAACATAGCGATAGGAGTCGTAAGCATTGCAAATTCAAGCACATTTTATGTATGATACACAGGATGCGACACGGAGAAAACACATCTTTTTCCCAGGATATTGAAAAAGCAAAACAAAATGACACGTAAACTGGTTTAGAGACATGACCATGCAAACACAGTCCCAGTGTCTTAAGTTATGGACCTACTAAATTTCACGGTGAATCTACGTTACGTAGAACTAGCCTGGCATTCGTCCGTGTGGTTAAAATAGCTTGTACTGAAAGTGACACCTGTTATGGTTTAGAACATGTACTGGAGTTACAATACTGAAACTCAACACACTAGATTGAATATCGGTTTCCCTTTTACTAGTACAGCCGCTTCTTATGCAGGAATCAGACGGTCTTAAGAAAACACCGTACTCACTAAATTCCAAGCAGCGATTTCTAAACCTTTTAATCAGACGCACTTGATCATAAATCAGATACACACATAAAGTAATGAACCTCCAGCCTTTATTTAACAGGTTGAGATAAAGTTTGGGGTCAGGCAGAGGAACAAAGGTGTGAGTCTGGTGAGGGAGTGTGTGAGGGTGTGTTTAAAGTGTGCATAGAGGGGTGCATCTTTATTTGCCAGCATAACACATCTCTTGGCAAGTATTTGTTTCTAATGTAGATAAAAATAGAAAATATGATACAATTCCTTTGTTCCTTTAGTCATCTGAAGGACGGTTAAGGTTACTTTAGAGGATCGGAAACATGGCCTTGTGTCCCTAAGGCGATGATGCAGAAATATATACGCAGGAGAATCTGAGGATGGTGATGACTCACCTGAAAGGGACGCAGGAACACACAAGTGGACCTGAATCTGAAAATGCCGTCAGATATGTATTTTCAGTGACCATCTTCTATAATAAGCTTTAAGGAAGAACAGGCTTAGGAAATGCTGAAAAGAATAGCAGGTTATTACTGTGAAAAACCCCTCCGATCAAGAGACTTGCAATGAGCGAATCCTAATCGTTTTCCACAGCTAAGTGCATGATTAAAATTCATAGAGATGATGTTTATGATACAGAGAATAATGATATCTCTCTAATGACCTAATAATCTCATCTCTCTAATGTAACTTTGAAGGCAGGGGATCCAATAGAGGGAGACAATTCAAGCAACGAGATAGATACAGTTCAATGGAGATGATGGCAGCAGTGCACACAAGGTTATGGTACAAACATAGTGCAGGAGTGTATTGTTACCCAGCACTACAAATGAGAGTGTCCCAAAACATGAATAATACACCGTGTGTGCTGCACCATTCGTTCATAGCAAATGTCAACGCACCTTACAGCTGCACAAGGAATCAAAACATGTAAAAGGAAAGGTGAGAGTAGTGGAGAGAAGGAAAGGAACTTAAATCCAATCTGCATATCACAGCTGTAATGGATCTGATTATTATTATTATTATTATTATTATTATTATTATTATTATTATTATTTTAATCTAATCTCTTTACCTATTCAATCTCCCTCTTCATTTTCCTTTATCTCCATTTCCCAGAACCTAGATTTGTCCATTTTACAGAACTACCTGCTAAATCCAGCAACCGTTCAGTTTTCATGTTCATCACTATTTTACATCAAGAATATACTGTACATCAATCTAGCTGCTTGTCATTCATCGCTATCCATTTCTCCGCTTATCATTGGGTATTGTCATGAGTGTTACACTTAAAAAAAAAAAAAACATTCTGGTTACGTCAGTAGAATAATACAATATTGCCTCACAGCCTTAAATGAGCACTGACTTGTGTTCTGACACATAAACAATGACATTGGGCATATATGTGTGTGCATATAGCACAATCTATAGCACGTAGACCATAGACTAGGAAAAATGAATCCTACTTGAAATTTTTCCGAATAGGTGGAAATAAAAAGACTTTTCTCTTAAAGCCATTACTCCTACAGTAGTTAGCAGTCACTCGAGGAAGTTGTATGCTTGCTGTCACCCGGTGACGCTCGTGGCTGAAGATGGCTCAATCTAGCAGGCTGCTTACAGAGAATAACATTGGTTAGCTGGCAGAGTGACGTGTGCTCCCTCCCTGATTGGCTTGCTTATTTTGTCACTCAAAAGAGAGGAGGGAGGGTATTTGATAAGAGGTGCTTCGCATTTAAAAAATAAAATAAGATAAATTGCTGTGTGGTTATTGATTGTGTTTAGATATTCCAAAAAGGTCTCCATAGAAACCTTGAAGATTATGGCTGAAGAGCAGTCACAGTCAGCAAGTCAGACACAAACACACATCCCGGTTCCCTTCGGCATGAGCCCTCGCTCCTCCCTCCTCTCTCCATCCTGCGATGCGGGGGCGTCTGATTGGTCAGCCAGGCGTGTTAATGACAGTCTTGGACGAGTTCTGAAAGAGAGGCTGCAGGAACATCCCTACTGTGCCAAAGACACACACAAAGATGAAGATCCAGAGAAAGAGCCGATCGATCACCATGGCAACATATTTCCAGTCCTCGCTCACCTGTGAAAGCGATAACGAGAGCAGAGTTAAGACGGTGGGAAGGGAATATGGGGGATTTGGGGCATGTTCAGAAGTGAAACGGAATGTGAAAAATGTGATGAAACATAAGGAGAGAAAGATCAAAGGAGGACGACATTGAGAAAACAAAAGAAAGGTGAGAGGGTGCAGAGTGGAAGATGTGTTGACGAGATGGAATGAAAAGGGTAAGAGAGTGGAGTACTTGATTCAACATTGATTGATTCAACATTACAGTGAGAGGGAGAAAGACCGAAGGAGAAATGAATACGAGAGAGATCAGGTGCAGACAATTTCCACATTCACATTCCACCACAATGCTCTGATGAGGTGAGACGCTGTAGGACTAGCACTGTAACCATGAGGATGGCTAATTAGCTGGAGATCACCACTAAACGTGTGAATGAGGTGGTGTTTAGATTAAAAGGATGAACAGAATTACTGCATTCTCACTGGCCATGTTAATACAAACACCTGGTTATCCATGCAATTATCCAATCAGCAATTGGGCTGAGAGCTGATTTCTTCCCTTTGTGTCTCGCAGTGAAAGAGAGACGGCAGAGCACATGCACAGATGACTCTATTGTGTTTACAATTGACTAAGAATGAAAGAGTTTGAAAGTAAGAGCCAAAAGAGCTGCATGCCCACAACAAGGTATCGTATTTTAGCCAAGAAGTTTGAAACAATAATACATTTCAGTTCTGTGACCATTCCAGTGTCTGTTTTTTGAGCTCCCGAGGTTCTGATCAGACTACAATGTGGTAGCAGCATAATATATAAAATCAGGCTGATTCAGGTCAAGACCTTTAATCACACCAAACAGTAGAATGAGGACGAAATGCAATCACAGTCACTTTGACCGTGGCATGACTGTTGGTGCCAGACTGGCTGGTTTGAATATTTCAGAAACTGCTGATCTCTTGGAATTCTTAAATAACCACTCTTTACAACCATGTTGAGTTTATCTCAGACTGCACAACACATCGAACATCGAGGTGGAGGGGCTACAACAGCAGAAGACCCCACGGATATCACACCTCCATCCATCCATCTTATAATCGTTAAGTGAGCATGAGAGCTAAGCTAGTCTCAAAGTTTGACTGCACTTCACTTTATTTTACCGTACTCATCCAAAACCTATTAGAGTTATGGGATTGCCAAGTCATCTCTTTCGGTACGGACAATGCTCCTTCCACTGGGATCTACTGTGACAGGTATTGGGCAGATATTCTACCAGAGCACCTTGAAAGCTTGGAGCATGACTACAAACTGACATTTGTCTTTACAGCTCAGCCAGTTCAGGTTCAGAAGGCATCCTTGAGAGTTCTTTGGAGGATTAAGGGTTTTTCAGTATTCGTACATGCCCACCATAAATGTAAATCAATTCAAATCAAGCGCAAAATGTTCTTAGGCGTGCCCATGCTGAGCAATGCAGCCCATGCAGATTCTGTGTTCTGATTCTGATTTCATCTTAGCTCTTTTATAGTGAGGTGTAGACAATAGAACAATTTCTCAAAGTTTACAAAATAATGAATTTTCATAAATGTATAGCAAGGGCATTTACAAGTTTCTTAGTAGGCTTTAGAAGGTGGCTCCCTATAACCTTAAGCAACTAATCTGCACTCAATGAAACAATCATCATATATAAACAGTGATGAAAGAAAGCAAAATTCTCCAACAATATATAAGTTCATGACTCACGCTGCGATCATCATCTTCACACTTCATGTGGCTGGCAATGAAGCGCACTCCCTCCACAGCTTCCTCGAAACCTGGGCATGCCTGGCCCAGAAGACCCTGAGGAAGAGCAGCAGGAGGCTGCTGCTTTGCCCGTGGCAAAGCCGAGGTGCCCTCTCTGCCCTCTCGCCCACCGTCCCTCAGACCATTCAATCCATCTATGGAATCTCCGCCACCTTCACCGACTTCTCCTGCAAACTGCTTGACTGAGGCCCGATTGACATAGCATGTGCATGCTTCGCCACTCTCCTGACCAGAGATGACAAGTTTCTCGTTGGCATGACGCCGTTGTCGTAGCTTTTGGCGCTCGCTGCTGTTCCTGGGCTGTCGCATAAAGAGTAGGGCAGGGAGTTTATCAAGGAAGACCACCCTGACCCACGGGGGCATGGTGTGGGTAGTGGGTGAACGGTGGTGCACGTTGAGCACACACACACTAGTGACAATGGAGAATGTGACCAGCACCATGGTGAACATCAGGTACTTGCCCACTAGTGGCACATCCAGAGATGTAGGTGGCACAATCTTAGAGATGAGCAGCAGGAAGACAGTGAGCG